TATTCTGCCTCCTTCCATCCAATGTAAGGAGCCAGCCTCCCTCTTAGCCTCCTCTGCTGTCAGCCACAAATGCTTCCCTTTCTTCCCACCAGTATTTCCTTCCCTTCCCCCAAGATCCTTACCAACTAGGAACAGCACCATCTGCAGTTTGTGTTTTGGGGTGCTCAAAAAACACCAGCTAAACATTATTACAATGCAATGTAAATGAATGAATGAATGAATGAATGAATGAATACTTCAAGAGATTTAGAATTTTAAAGCTGAAACCATGGGGCTTTTGTCATTGTATCATCTAGTTTAATTCTCCTTCGCATTGGGCCCTCTCTAGTTGTTTTGGGCTTCCCTACAGTCAGGAAAAAATGTTCCCACGGGCCCTCCCTGGTGGCGCAGCAGGTTAAAGCACAGCACTAAGAAGCTTAATCCACTTCAGCATGAGTTCGATCCCTGCCTGCCCAGGAGGTGACCACATGGCGCAGCAGACCTCTCCTGACCCATCTGCTGCTCCCCTCAGTAATGTACTTCGTTGATCTGCCTGTTCTGTTCACCATTCTCTGGTGAATCCTTTCACCACACCTGCACCTCTGGCCTATACCCCAGTTCTGTATGAATAAATAAATAAATCGTTTAAAAAAAAAAAAAGTTCCTGCAAAATGAGGGGAAGAGACGAACAGGAGACCTAAGCCTGAAGCAGAGAAAAAAGCAGGGAGTTTATAGGCCTGCTTCTATGCTGTGTGTCACCATCTCTTCTCAGAGCCTTGAGTGCTGATCTTGAAAATAGATAGAAACACAGTATGACATCAGGCCCTCTCTATGGGGTATGGTCACAGAAAACAAAAGAAACTGAGAAAGGGAACTGGGAATTGGCAACATTAGGAAGAATCATATGAACCATAGGAAGGCACTGAGTCACCACAGGCTACACAGGAATGTCAGGACCAACGCTGTAGAGAGGTTAATCAAGGAAAACAAAGCCCTCTCCTTGCTCCCTGCTTGAAGCCTATGGCCCTCTACCTCACTCTTGGGTTTCTCCTGCAGAGGCATCTATAGGGAAGACACATGCCGTCATCACCCACTTCAGACACACACCTTCATGAACGATATATACACACACACTCACATGTGTAATTTTCCCCCTCTTGCAAGGATCATGTGTCCAGGTGGAAGCCTCACTTACCACCAGTTATATTGACCCATTGGGAATTTTTTTTGTTTTCATCTTTTATCTGTGGACTCTGCAAAGTAAAAGATGCAGGTCTCCAAAGGAAACTGGTAAATGTGCAGGTACAACAACCTCACCCAGAGAGAGAGACGACTATCCAGATCTTTAGACTTCTAGAGAGTGATTTAGCTCATAACACCAAGTCAGTCACTGAGACCTAATGAAATGACATTTGAGGGTGAGAAGAAATTAGAATGCAGAGTAAGGGAGGAAGAGGCTGGCACCAACAGAGTCCTGAGAACAACTGCAGAGACAGTGACAATAGTATTTTCTCCCCAACCTTCCCGAAGTCAAACCTGCATCTCAATCGTACAGCTCTTCCTGCCTCTTTGGCTTCCTCTCCCTGTCTCCATCACAGACATTTCATCAGTAAATTCCTTACAAATCTAATTCTATCCTAATGACTACTCTGGTGAGAGCCAAAACTAACAAAGATATGTTCAAAAACTGAGTTAAAATCCATGATTACAAAACAATGTAAGAAAATAATACAAGATATAAAAGAACAATACACCAGATCAGAAAATTTTCAGAAAAAAATAGGGATATGTTCAGGAAAAGTTATAAATAACATAGAAATCAGTTAAAAGATTAAAAAATAATCTACAAAACACACAAGTGCAAATAAAACAAATAATGCCTTAAGAAAATAGATTTAAAAGTGTGAACACTTAAAAGAATTAAATTAAAAGTGTAATATTTGAGATCTTTAATGACAGAATTTCTATAATTTCCCAGGGAATTTATTCCAGTTCTTTGTACCTTCCTTGTTAAGACTTTCTCAAATCTAATCACTAGCTATTTCCTTTTTATTTATTTATTTATTTGTATACAGAACTGGGGTACAGGCCAGAGGTACAGGGGCAGTGAGAGGACTCACCAGAGACAGAGTGGGGAGCAGAACAGACTGATGAAGCACACTGCTGAGG